TGTCTGGGCGTGCAGGTTGGAGTCCAGGGTCCCAGGGTGCAGGGTATGGTCCCAGGTGCGGAATGCAGGGCAGGGTCTGGGAGTGCAGGGCAGGGTGCAGGGACCGGGGTCTGGGCGTGTAGGGCGGAGTCCTGGGCCAGGGTGCAGGGCAGGATCAAGAGTCCGAGGATGCAGGGCAGGGTCCAGGAGTGCACGGCAGGGTCACGGGTGTAGGGCGACGGCTGTGGGTGCAGGGAGACACTCTATACCCACGTCCCCCAACCCTGGTCGTTGACACGCTGGAGGCCATGGCACCGCCAAGGGCCTTTTGGGCCGGGACACCACCCAGCGTGATGTCGTGGTGTGGTTAACTGCCTTTTCCTGGAAGCATGGGCTTTTGCTTGGCGGGCAGGTCTGGGCAGCCCTGTCTTCCCAGAAAAGAGCCAGGTGACCCGGGTTTCATGAGCCCCGATTAGCACTCACCCCCTGCGAGTGTGGTGACTCTCTCCACGAGGGGTGTGGGGTGGCCTCGAGGCCCCATCTCCAATCAGGGTTCTGCTCTCTGCTGCACTTCCTCTCAGGGTGGAAGAAAAGTCCACCCGAAAACCCGCAGGGGCCAGATGCCTGGCCCGTGAGGAGGCCCTGCAGAGGTAGAGTGGGGGCCCCATCGCCTCCTGAGGTTGTCCGAAGGCGCCTCCCTTCTTTAAACTAAGGAGGGAGAAGCTGGTTTTCTATCTCCCGTGTTTATTTTGTTCTTGTTTCCCAGCAAGCAGTGGCCTTGGTGGCTTTTGTTGTGCTAGGTTTAAGGTTTTGAGGAACTTTTGTGGCCGTGTCAGCTGGTGAACGCCACCGTACTGGACCTTCCCCGAGATCCCTCACCTCCTTAGGCTGGGTGGAGGGGCTGGACAGGCAGGTGCTGCCAAGCTCTCTGGGGGGGGGGGGGAGGGAGACCGACTGTCTTCCCCCTACCTTCAAAAAATCAGGTGTAGAAACACATCCGCAGGCCAGGCGTGGTGGGTCATGCCTGCAACCCTGGCACTTTTGTGAGGGCAGGGAGGATGGCTTGAGCCCAGGAGTTGGGCAAAATAGCGAGACTTTGACTCTACAAAAAAATAACAAAAGTTAGCTGGGTGTGGTGGTGCCTCCCTGTAGTCCCAGCGATTTAGGCAGCTGAGTTTGGAAGGTCGCTGGAGCCCAGGAGGTCGAGGCTGTGGTGAGATGGCATCACACCACTGCATTCCAGCCTGGGTGATAGTGAGAGCCCGACTGGGTGGATGGGGGGGGAGACGGGATGACACACCACCCACCATCCTCACATGAGTGCTCTTATGAGTAGGACAGCATTCTTTTTTTCCCTTTTTTTTGCTGCATAATGAAATTTCCAAGTAATAGTATGCACAATCATAATGCATTTTGTAGAACTAGGTGTGCCCATTACTTGTTAAGGGAACCCTTGGATAAAGCCTTACTGACTGTACATCAGCTATGACGTCGATCTTGGTTTTTTGATTTTTTTTTGAGTTGGAGTCTCACTGTCACCCAGGCTGGAGGGCTGTGGCACACTCATGGCCACCCCAGTGTCAACCTGCTGAGCTCCGGCGATCCTTCCACCTCAGCCTTCTAAGTAACCCTAACTACAGGCACACACTGCCACGCCCGGCTAATTTTTGACTTATTGTAGACAGGAGGTCTCACCAAGTTGCCCGGGCTGGTCTCAAACCCGCGTTCTCAGACAATCCACTCAACTCGACCTCCCATAGTGCTGGGATTACAGACTGAGCCTGGCCTATCCTTCATTTTTGAAGAAAATTGCATCAAGCAGGACGGTGACATTAAAGGTCGTGTTCTGAGCAACTAGTTGCCTCTCAGGTGTATGCTCTGGGCCAGGTGCACCTGATGGGATGGTGCCTGCCACATGGTGATACAGCACTGCAGACCCCCACTTGCGGTTTTAGGTACCCACGGGGAACTGTGATCTGAAGGTGGATGACTGCAGTAAAGGAAGGGAGAGAGAGACCTCAGTCCCCTGGCCTTTCTTGCTACATATTGCCAGCATTGTCCCATTTTATCATTGCTGTTGAACTCTTGACTGTGCCTATTTTGTAGTCTTAATTTTGTCTCAGGATCGTGTAGGGAGAACAACATCCACGGGGCTTGGTCCTGCTTGAGGTCCCAGGCGCCCATCAGGGCCTGAGCACGGATCCCTGTGGACAGGGGCCACTGTGCTCTGTACATCCTCATGTATGCACTGTGTGGGCCAGGCTTTCTCCACCTCAGCATAGCTGACATTGAAGCTGAATCATCCTTGTCAGGGAGGACTGTCCTGTGCCTCCTAGGATGTGTGGCCTAAGTTGTGACCACCAAGAGTTTCCCCAGATGTTGTCTGATGTCTCCTGAGGGGCAAAGTTGTCTCCACTTGAACCACAAGGTATGAACCGAGGACTAATCTCCCCTAAAGGAGCTGTGAGAAGGACGCCCGGTCCTTCCTGGGGAGCTGGGTCTCTGTTGAACACAGCCCCTTCCTTGGAACACTTCCTGGTGGGTGGCCTTCAGGGGCCGAGACACCCACTCCTGCCCTCCGTCGGGGCTTTGGGTTAGGTGCCATTGTGCTGCCTGGGAGCTCCCCAGGGTTAGCCTGTCTTACTCTACATACCCTTCCTATTCCCTCTTGGCATCTGGCCTACCGTGCATGGGGATGGGTGGGCGAGCCAGCTGGGAAGGACTCTTCCTGGAGGATGTTGGTTCCACCCGAGGCACTTCAGGGGAGAACGGAGGTGTGCGAGGAACAGAGGGAGTTGTAGACAGTGCGGCTGTTGCTGGAGGTGGTATGACAGAGCTCCTGGGGCTTGATCTGGGCGGACCTGACTCCCCCTTCCCAGCTGCTGTATTGTGTGTGCTTGCCCTGTCCTGGGGAGAGATGCAGGTGAGCAGCCGGGCTCTGAGGGGACAGCTGGAGCTGAGGCGTCGGACCCTGAGCCTGTCTCATGCCAGCACTATGACCGGAAGCCACCGGCCACGGGCCTCAGTCTCCTCAACTGACAGATGAAGGGGTAGACTGAGTGAGGTGTCACCAAGGTCTGCATCACTCTAAATGGCAGCTTCTTTCCAGCTTTCTGCCTGGCTTCTCGGTTTCCCCTTTAGGACCGGCGTGAGTAGCTGAGACCTGGGAGAGGCGCCCATGGGGATGGATGGGGCCAGGCAGTGTGTCTGCGTACCCACGGGTCACCCACTCCAGCTGGAGGACATGGCTCTTCTAGGCAGGCAGCAGTGAGCACGTGCCAGGAGTTGAAAGGTACCTGTGCTGTGCCACCCATAGCTGTAGCCTTGTGGCTCGGGTAGCAGTGGATTCTGTGTCTCAGAGAGTTAACTGGACCCTTTCTGATTGACTTCAACTGGAGCCGCTGAACTTGGCTAATATGAGTGCAGTGTGTGGGAGTTAATAAATTGTTTCTCTTTTTAAAATTGTAAAACATTATAGTCCTTTTGTTTAGGTCCAGGTTTTTATTTTTATTTTTATTTTTTTGAGTTAGAATCTCACTCTGTCACCCAGGCTGGAGTGTACACACTAACGGCCATTGCAGCCTGGACCTGCTGGGCTTAGGCAATCCCTCCACCTCAGCCTTCCAAGTAGCAGGAACTACAGGCACGTGCCACCATGCTCCACTAATTTTTTGATTTATTGTAGAGATGAGGTCTCACCAAGGTGCCCAGGCTGGTCTTGAAGCCAAGGGCTCAGGCAGTCCTGTCATTTCTGCCTTCCAAAGTGCTGGAATTATAGGCGTGACCACCACAACCAGCTAGGTCCGGTTTTTAAATAATTCTGTTTCTCGAAATAATCATAGATTTACAGGAAGTTGCAAAGAAACAGACAGGGAGGTCCCTGGTGTCCCTCACCCCGCCTTTTCTAGTGGGGATATCTTGCATAACTGCAGGACATTTTCAGCACCAGGAAACCCACATTGGTGCAGACGCAGGTGTATTGAGACTGTGTGCACCTGTGACCACGTGAGGTTCTAGGTGGTTTTGGTGCCGGTAGCGCCTGTAGCATTGTGTAGCCCCACCCTGCCAAGGCCTTGAGCTATCCCATATTCACAAAGCTCCCTCCTGGACCCCTTGCAGCCATGCCCTCTGCCCTTCCTGAAACCACTCACCTCTTCTCCTTCTCTGTAAGTTTATGATCACAAGTATGTTGCATCCATGGAATCATGATAGGTGACCTTTTGAGTTTGACTTTTTTCACTCAGTACAATCTCACAGAGGTACACTCAGGCTGTTGCGTTGATTGGCGTTAGCAGCAAGCAATAGATTCCAGGCAAACAGGTGTTGCTTGCTACTTACTCAGCTACTCTGGAACTTTCACCTGCTTCTACTTTTACACAAGTGATATGCTCATGGAGGAGAGTCAGGCTTGCCTTCACCTGCATCTTTGGGCCCTGTTGATGTGCTTATGCTAGAATGTTGTTGGGAATGGGAAACTGGGCTCAAGATGTCAGTCGCAGAGCTGTTGGGCTTGCAGCGAAAGGGGGTGATGAGTGATGAGCCCTTGCTTTGAGCCCAGTCATGCCGGAGGACCGAACACGGGGCAGGAGGTGGCCCTTTACTCCTCTGCCTGTGAAGCTGGGCTTTGCAAACACCTGGCGGCATGTTTCTTAGATACCCTGGTGACGGAAGCCAGTGGAGAGATGGAACTAGAACTTTGGCAAGAATGTTTCCCATGTTCTTTTTTTTTTTTTTTTTTCCGAGTTGGAGTCTCACTCCGTCACTCAGGCTGGAGTACAGGGGCATGCTCATGGTCACTGCAGGCTCGATGTGCTGGGATCAGGTGATCCTTCCACCTCAGCCTTCCAGGTAGGTGGAACTATAGGTGTGTGCTACCACACCTGGCTTACTTTTTTTATTTACTGTAGAGATGAGGTCTCACCAAGTTGCCCAGGCTGGTCTTGAACCCCTGAGCTCAGACAGTCCTCTCGCCTCAGCCTCCTAAAGTGCTGGGATGACAGGCGTGAGCCACGTGAACATGTGCCCGGCCTCTCATGTTCTTGAAGAAAGTGATACAGTTTTGCTGCAGGTAACATGGCAAACCCATGGGTTGATGATCACCTGATGGTGGTTGGCACGAAACTTGGTCCCTTTTGCTTCTGGTAACTTTGTTGAAATTGAGCACCCTCTGAATTGTATTTTAGCATAATTACAGTTAACACATCTTTATTTGTTCTTAAAATTCCAGCTATGAAGTCTTAAGTTAAGCATGGAGAAACTACCAGGTTCAGGGGCTCATGCCTCTAATTCCAGCACTTTGGGAGGCCAAGGTGAGAGGGCATGAGCCCAGGGGTTCAAGACCAGCCTGGACAACATGGCGAGACCTCATCTCTACAATATGTTTTAAAAAAATTGCTGGGTGCGGTAACGGGTGCCTGTCATCCCAGCTACTTGAGGGACTGAGTTCTGTGGAAGGATCGCCTGAGCCCAGCAGGTTGAGGCTACAGTAGCTGTAATTGTGCCACTGAAATCCAGCCTGGGTAACAGAGGGAAGCCTGAACTCAGAAAAAATAAAAAACAAATTGTATTAATAAAACATGTAGAGACCAGGTGTGGTGACTCATGCCTATAATCCCAGCACTTTGGGAGGCCAAGGTGAGAGGACTGCGTGACTCCACAGGGTGAAGACCAGCCTGGGCAACTTGGTGAGACCTCATCTCCACAATAAATCAAAAAAAGTTAGCTGGGTGTGATGATGCCTGCCTGTGGTTCCAGCTACTTGGAAGACTGAGGCAGAAGGATTGCATGAGCCCAGTAAGTCGAGGCTGCAGTGGTCGTGATCATGCCCCTGTACTCCAGCCTTGGCGACGGAGTGAGACCCAGCTCAAAAAAAAAAAAAATGGAGAAACTGCACACAAAGTTTTCAATTCTGGTTAAATTTTAGTGTCAGAACTAAGCAGAATGTGGTACTCAATGTTCAGTAGTAGTGAAGATCAGAATCACGGTGGATGTGCGTGCTTTTGCAGTTTTAAAGAACCTTCTAAGTTAAAAGTTCATTTTGTCTTGACTGTACATTTTGAAAATGCTTTTTTTGTGCCGGGCTCGGTGGCTCAGCCTGTAATCCCATGCTTTGGGAGGCTGAGGTGAGTGG